CGTCACATGTACATCCTTAGTATACACCTCGTTGTAGTGTCTATATATATATATATATATATATAGTGTATTATAGCGTTGAACTTGTGGAGCTTCCGTTAAAAGTTGTCTCCGTTCGTGGCGTATTTGGTTAAGTTCTGTACATCAATCTCATGAACTCAGAACAAACATTCGCTCGTACTATGGGGCAGCCAGTACGCGCGCTTGAGCGGATGAGTTTCCGCATTTAAAGTGAAGTGTTCGATATGTTACTGTAGATGATAGCAGTCCCAGCCTATCGCGCGCACATGTTCAACTGCAGCCGCTCCGCCCACATACACTCAATCCGGCATTTGCTAAGCAACGCGTATATACTCCTGACGTATATAGATCCTCGCACGTGTAGGTAATGAAGTACTTCTTTGATACCTACTTACCTACTTACCTACAGACAAGGGCCTTCTGGAGGGGTCTGTGCGTGTTGGTGGTAAAGTCTTGGGCGCCAATGTTCGCTACATGCTGGGCTATGTAGATCAGGACGATCATCTCATACGCACACTCACACCGAAGGTAGGTGACTCTAGTCAGGTACTTGTACCGAACAATTGTCTCGATGTGTGTAGCAGTAGATGTAATGGGCCCATTTGCATATCAATATCACTGTCTGATATCCTCAGCACAGCTACGGCTGCCTATCGCGTCCCAACAGAATCTGATTCCTCTTCGCTCACTCTTCTTATACCGCTAAGACCCTCCCGTATTCCTTTTGACACCCTTTTGTCACCCGTCTCTGTGGCTGTAGGAGAGTCTAATGTACTCCGCACGGCTGCGACTACCTGATGCGGTGTCAGACGAAGTGGTCACTCGCGTAGTGGAGCATGTCATCAAGAGCCTCAACATGGAAGCCTTTGCAGATACTCTTATAGGTGTGTGAAACGCATCTAGATTGTATTGGGTTTGAGGGTTTGGTTGAAATATGTATGCATGTATACGCAGGTGAAACGTTGAGTACGTATGTATGCACAGGGAGACTAGTACATAGGGAAAAATAAGATATGTATTTTAAC